TAACCGTACGCACTGCAATAAAGCAGGAAACCTCAGTGGTGACCGCAATGACAAAAGTTGCTGTCCTAAGCATGTGACAAAATGCCTGTTGTCATTGAGTTGAGTTGCTAAGCGACATTGTGCAAATCGCACTTCGTTCGAGCAAAGTGAGCCTTTGAACTTAGTTGCAAGCTTCTACGAGATAATCTATAGTAATGACCGGCTTGTGAAGTTCTTTTATAATGCTAAGTTCTTAATCCACGCATGACGGGGGTTCTCTACAGAGCCTCTCTCTAGTCTCTCTCGTTTTTCTACAATATCCGTTGAACCGCTAAACGTTTTTGCACAAAACTTTCCGCACCTTTGGCCGCGTCCATTTGATGCCGTGTGCTTCAAGAAAACTTCGTAGCTACTATATGTCAGCTGGAAATGACGTCAGAGTGACGTCATGCTCGGCCGATTTTGACACAAAACATTGACAAGCTCAACAACGCAGAGCAAAATTCCGCATGTCCGTTTAAGCTCAGGAGAACATCTTTATCAATCTTAGGTAGAAATAAGCTCACCTTTTATCAAACCGTGAGTAATTGGAAGCGTTTCGATTAGTGGAGAACAGCGATGGTATAAGTGACGTAAACTGTTTCAATTACAGTCAATGCGTCGCCCAGCAGAGACTCGCGCTGGGCGGCCCGCCCGCCCGCTGTCGTCGCGCCGATGTCATATTTCGTGTGGGAGCGGCCAGGTGAGCCCCAGCAAACACACTAATCTCGCGTGCCCGACTTATCTCGGCCGGCCAATATTGAAACTGAGTGCCAGCGCGGCGCGGCCGGAGGAGCGCAGGCTCACCCAGCTACCCCGCCCTCGCCCTCCATCCCGCCCTCCGGGCCCACCGCCGCGGGCCGCCTCCCTGTCCCCCGCCCCCCCCCCCTCCCCGTGGCAGGGAGAGGGGAGGACCGTGTGGGGGTCCCAGTTGGTTGTGGGTACGATGAGCATACAGGGGCCGAGTTCATGAAGCTTGGTTGCATTTTCATCAAGGTGTAGGGGAGAGTGGGGTAATTTGGCCGCTTTTTTTTTAGAAAACGATGTAACTAAAAATCGACAACACCTTTCTGCATTTTCTCAACGCTGACGGTGTGGCATACATTTTACTTTCCTGGACAGTAAACTTAAAATGATAGGGTGACTACTTATATTGACCCTCGCATGTGTGCGGCGTTTGCCAGCTTCTAATGTGTAGGGGGAGGGGGGTCGGTTGGACCCCCCTTGCCGTTTGGCCCCTGATCGAGCTAGAGCTTCGCAGAAAAAACGAGCGTGTTGCCCGTGACGAGAGGAAGCCGATGATACCCAATTTTGAGGTCCTAGGTCATTGGTTGACCTTCCAGGTCAGGTCAATGACCCAAAGTCGGGAAAATCGGGACCTATTAGAAAGTCGTTAAGTGTGGCTACTAAGAGGTTTTTCGGGGTGCTGATCACGAATATCGTGTTCATTTTGATCACAGATGATGTCTTTAAGCATTTAGACCAGGTCGGGTCAGGTCAGGTCAGGTCAACCAGTAGGGGTTGTGACGGGTATTCGTAGTACGTGTCAACCGCCTCTGACAGCTTCGTAACATGTAACGAAGGCACCAAAACTACTTCGTAAATGTTCAAATGGTTGCTAAATTCGAATTCAGCTCCAAAAACTAGCCTAGAAACATGTAAAACTCGAAAAAGTGAACCGAGGTCACCCGAGGTCACCAAAGGTCAATGACCTGACCTGACCTTCAGGTGACCTTGACAGTTGACACCCATTCTAATGCATGGGAGCAACATCAAATCACATGTTTGGACGTTTGAAACCACGAAAAGCTTGCAAACGCGCGGCTAATGCGAGCCGACATACGCGGAATCGCGATTCCGGCCAAACATGGTCTCGGAAAAGAGGTCACAGGTCAAAGGTCATTTGGGTCAGGGTCATGAAATTTTCAGGGTAGGTGTAAAATTGATCAATGAGAGGGTACTGAAAGTTTCGTCGCAATCGGCCGCTTTTTACGCGAGTTATTCGCGAAAAACCATGGGGGGTCCATCCGACCCCCCCCCCCCCCCTACACATGCGAGGGTTGAAATTGTGACGTATTACAAAGGTCTGCAAAGCGGCCAAATTGCCCCACTAGCAGGGTTATTTGGCCGGGGGTGTGGGGCAATTTGGCCGGTGTTAGTTTGAAGCCATGATTTTTGTTATCGGCGAGTCAGCTTCACATTCAGCAATGACGCGTGTCCTACGACGCATTTGAAGCATTTTGGAGGTTGACTTAGCCGTCACAATGGTCGAAAATAGTTAAAATAGCGGCTCTAGATGCGATGACAGTTTTTTACGAATAGCTTTTGAAGTAATCAAGCTAGGCCAAAGCTAAAAGTACCATCGTAATTCTCTCGTCATTCCGCATCGAAACATGTACATATGTGTTGACCTCGAGAGGTTAAGGTCAAAGGTTGGCTTCAGGTCACGTTACCTTAGGTCGCTTGACCTCAAGGTTACGTGAGTCCAAGGTCATCATGTATATCATTCGATGCGCCTTGACGAGCTGAACACAATGAGACCATTTGCGCGGCTGTATCTTTTTCTGTAAGTATTTATTAGCAAAAAAAAAAACGTTAGGTAACCGTTGATGACGTCACAGCCCTTACAGCTGTCCAATAGGAAATATGGCATCAAGGTAGTCAAAGTTGGTCATGAATTATGTCCTTTATGGTATAATTGACCGTGACAACTCGGCCGTCCCAGCATAGTGACTCTGAGCGCACCGGCCAAGTTGCCCCGCTAGTCCCGGCCAAATAACCCCACATTGCCACTCTGAAAATGTTTGTCTATAAAGTCGTCATGGCTGTACAGAACTAGATGAAATTGCTCTTGGAACCGCTGAACACCCTCAAGAATGGCGCTATAATGTTGGAATTCGCTTACAGCCCAAATACTACATGTTGTATAAATTTTTAAACCGAAGTAAAAGTTAGGTACCATTTTCTAACGAAATTCACGCGTTTTATTAATTTTGAATAAAATTAAAAGGGGAAAGTTTTGACATTTGTTCTCGAGTTTATTCTACCGATGACAAATGAATAGAGACTAAAGTTATTTCATTCACTTTTATCAGCTTTCGTACAGGTGGGGGCGGCCAATTTACACCACCGGCCAAATTACCCCACTCTCCCCTATTTTACGTTCTAAGAAAGTACACTCTATAGAAGTGATTGATTTTAGTAGAATCGGAGGGCGTGTTACTCGCCAGATGTACATACATATTTGTTTATTTTGAATGTGTTTTACTATATTGTATTTATTGTATGCATTGTTGAATGTATTTAATGCATCAACATCTGAAATCATAATTAACACGCGCAGTGGAAGGGGGGGGGGGCGCATTTCGCCCCGATTCCGTCTTTACATCGCGCTCCTTACCGCTGATTATATTCGATTCGCGTCAAATTTGGTGAGAAGACTAAGAAATGTACAGGCAATCTTATGGTCAAAGAATTTTGAAAATCGGCTGGTAAAAACTTGAGTTATGAGTGTGTGAACAGTGAACACAAAATTGAGATTGACGCTTTTCCCGCGTCCGCCGATCCCGCTTCAGCCGGCGACATCTTACCCTTAGCAGGCTTCTAACTGCCACATTTATTGTTTGATTAACTAGAAATTCACCCTACATACTCACAAATGTATGTTCTTTCGAATAATGAAAGAAAAAAGAAAATCGGCCGGTAACTGTTTGAGTTATCAGCGTGTAAACGCAAACAAGTCGCTCATATGGCAGATTTGACCACATTTGACCTCATTTGACCTTGAAGATATTGACCTAGGGTCATGAAATTCACACACAACAGAGTTCCTCAGGGCCCCCACCTACCCTATAAATTTCGTCTTCCTAGCTCAACTGGGAGCTGAGATCTTAGGGGGGCGCCATCCGCCCCCCTTCCACTGGGCGTAGTACTCGCAACCCTTCCACTGCGCGTGTTAAACAGCGAATGGTTATTTCCGCAGTGTCGTAATGAAACCGTTTGGGCGTAAAATGCAACCAAATGGTTAGAAAACTGCGTCAGTCGTAGTTTACGCCCTGTTGTGAAATCGGCTACATGTCGGCCACTCAGCGCAGCGCACTGTCTCTCCTCGATACAATATCTGTTTTAGAGTTGGGATCATTATTTTGGCTCCACATCATCACAAAGCGCCCATTGTTAAAAAGTGTGACTTGAGCGACTTTTTATTCAACGTATATACTGGCATGAATTCCTTGCTTGTTACACGTAATTGTTCAAAAACAGAACATTTAGATACATGCCTAATTGATGGGACCAATCGACTCAAACTGCAAAGCTTTTTGATAAGGCACGAGTTAAGTAGACTTACTGCGATTTTTTAGATAAAGTATTGCTAGTATGTCGATGGATATCGATAATATTTATACGTACAGCATATCATAAAAACGATTGACATTACCTGAGCTTGAGTTATTTTCCGCAGTGAAGTGAGTGGAAAAAATTGCGATTCTTGTTTCCGATATGAAATATCTGAGGGTTGACCGGAATGCAACTCTGAAACCCAAGAGACCTGAAATCCCACGTTGAAATATCGGTCCTACCGCCAGCTCACTGCTGATCAAGAGAAAAGACCCGTAGATCCAAAAACCGGTTAATAGTTTCACATGCGAAACTACAAAAGGGCTGAAGATAAGATCACGAGGATAGTTTATTTATCAATGTAAAATGCCTCTCTTCGTAGTAAAGAGCCAGTAGTTTACGAATATATTCAAAAAACAATTAGAAATGAATATAAGCGGACCGGTTTCGTCTATCAATGACTTCTTCAGCGCTTTTACAAAAACGTACTATATAATACGTTTATTATACGTTTTTGAAAAGCGCTGAAGAAGTCTTTGATAGACGAAACCGGTCCGCTTATTCATTTCTAATTGTTTTTTGAATATATTCGTAGACTACTGGCTCTTTACTAAATACCTGTCCAATATATCTACACATGCCTCTCTTCGTATGAGATGTGTATTTATAGGAGAGCCACTCTCGCCCAGCCGTAACATACCGTCACAAATACATAAACGCACACGACAATTCGTATCAGTTTCAACCATAGAGGACGAATGAACAAAAGCCTTCTCGCTCCATTTCCATAGAGGACAACGTTACACAGTCGCATACCCACACACAGCTCAGGTAAGCTCAGCTATGGAGCAGGCATCTCGCAAGCAATAACATCGCTTGTTTTATCTATTTTAATCGCTTGTTTCATCGCTTTTCGGTTTTGAGACGATCAATGAAAAATGAAACGCATACCTACTCTTGAACAATCCAATTGACAGCACCATTACACGTATGCCTAACGCAATTACTAACATGCATGCTAAAGCGCTCGATGTCACTCATACATTTTCTTATAAAACTAACAACCGCATGCGTGGACTTGGCCGTACGAGGCACGCATTTGCTCAGCTTTAGCATAAGTGTGATCGCCTAACCCCAACTAAATAACAATTGGCGTGTAATTTAAGGGCACTTCATTGTTTGATCAGGATATATCCGTCACAATCAAACGAAATTAGGGGGCGGGCCTGACCTCATTTACCTACATTTGATCACACCAAACAGTTTCACATAGCGTGAATGACAGATGTGCGAGAGATGAATATATGCAAAGCAAACACATTTATTATGACATTAGCGTGCTGGGATGTTGAAAAAACGCAACTGGCCACCGAACATTGTCAGGCACGCAGAGCTATGTGGATGCAGCCAGACAGTCGAATTGTTCTCACTTACAGGCAACGCTGGTACGTGACACAACCTTTATAACGCATCTACGAACTTTCACTCTGTGGAACGTGTTTTTTATCACATGCCTGCTGAATTTCGCATTGTTATCAACTTATAGTTATTATTTCAGCACGCCAGGCAGTGCGCTGTGCGGTGAATCAATGTAGACATAACATAAGACAGATGCACAAATTAAGACGAATGTAACGGACGCTAGCCATCCGCAAATTAAAACGTCGCCATTGCAAGCTCATAGTTCGGATCTTAAAAAGGACTCGAGTCCTCGTTGTTACACATTATTTCGTTTAGTGGACAAGGGCGACAATGATACGCGTTGACACTCTTTGGTTTTCTCGCCTGCTTAGCTACGTTGTGCTTCGTTCAGTTGAAAGCCGTTTCACAGAGTAGGTACACATCTGCTTTCCCCGCGATCTAATGTACCCAATTTCCGAGCGCTCAATGCAGATTTGCTTGCAGACAGCGAGAAGCAATTTTCTGCAAGAACCATAAATAACCGCGTAAAAGATAGCCCCAAAGCACATGCATTTGTCTAAATATAACGACGAAGCAGGCCAGTTCGGTGGTGTGCGACTAGAAGTCACTGGTTCCACATTTTCACTTTCGACAAATGTTGGTCCGCATTTTACTGGCCACTGTTTACGATCACTGAGCCTGGCAGACTAGCACTGGCAATGGTTATGGCTCATATAGTGTTTGTGTGTACGATCTATCGTATGTCCAGCATCATAAAATGTCCAAACTCTTGGCCTTCAGTTCAACTAGGAACACAACCAAGAAGAAGCAGTGGCGTGATTATCCAAGAAATAATCGCGCCACATAGTGCGATTACTTCGGTCTGCGCACTGTGGGCTGCTTTCATCACAAAAGCCGATATAAGCGCCGGTAAACTGGGCATTCGGAGTGCCTCGGCGAGTTCCCTACCGATGAAGCCTGGACTGCAGCGCCGCCTAGCGTCACTAATAGTGTTGATAGTACTGCTCGACACCGCAATGTGCCGCCACCGGCGGGGCGCGCTCACTTAGCCCCAGGTCACAGGCCACCATCTCCTGAATATCATTCAACGTATCGAGCGCCGTAGTCGCCATATGCAACGAGCTACTCGGCAAGACGCTAGCGCCCGGCATATAGGTGGCGGGACTGTCGGGTCGATAGATGGCGCCGGTGGGCGACGGGCCTCGCTCCGGCTGAAGGTAGCGACTCACGCTGCTGTAGGACGGCAGCGGCTGGTGTGCCGAGGACGGATATGACGTCACCGGAGCGGGTGACGTCACCGAATGGGAGCTGTACAGCGCCGGCAGCATCAGGTGTGTCGAGGCGACGGCGGGCGGCGGCGGTGGCGGCGGCGGCACGGCGGGGTGGTACATGGAGGGCGGACTTCGGTCGTCCCGAGAGTATACTGAAACAACAGACCGGACGCCATCATTTACCAATAACCATGGCAATCCTTCGTGCCCAGCATTGCAAATTTTAACTTTAAAAAAAGACAACACATAGTGTATCCAATCACCCTTCAATGGTGACAAAGGAAGCATACCTATCACTCGTGTATGGCATGGGTAATTCAAGCTTGTCCAGGCTAGCATAACCCTAACAATCTAGGAGCACATTGCTTCGTTCCTCGGTACTCCATACATCCAAAATAGCAAAGTCCCTAACCCCCAAGCCCTCAGAGAACAAGGCCCTTGCCGATGCCTCCCAACTGAGTGCGTCCCTCGCCCCGGACGTTTCTCTCACCCGGCGGGTTGATCACTGACGACTGGGTCAGTTGCGCCATGGAGCCCATGCCCAGCCCGTTCTGCGTCAGACCGACGACATTCATGGCGCGGTTGACGATGTCGACGCCAATGGTGGCGCGGCTGGCCTGGTTGCGTCTCCGACGACTGCGGCCACTGCCGTCCGCCTCCGACTTGGGCTTTCGCTTCCTCGGCTGGAGAGAGGAGGGAAAGGTGCAGTTAGCAGTGCTATGTGTACAAGTATCATATAACTCCTCACTGGACTACTGCTTTTTATGTACGCCATGGCTGAGAGGAGAGGGTTTTAGAACTCCCGACACCCACTACACACATCACATTGTCCCTGATCGGCCTGATCTATAGGGAGCTTCGCTGAGAAAGCAAGAGTTTGCGTTGTTTTGTTACGAGACGGAGCGACCGGTGCCCAATTTCAATAAATGATCTCTGAGGTCAGGTCAAATGACGTACGGAAAGGTACAAAAAGTTTCGATGAGATCATGTTGCCTCCTATTAGCTTTCCAGTAATTCCGAATGGTTGGCAGGGGGCGTTAAGCACCCTCTCGTCTCTTCCAGTCAATGGCGGCCAGTGGGCTAAGACTACAATCTACGTTTTAGGCACGTTTAGGAACGTTTCAGGCAATAATAGGCACGTTTTACCGCAATATATTTCATGATGACAAATTTATGGTAACAAGTTATGCAAAAGTTGACTTGCAAAGTGTCACCGATCGAGACATGCTTTGACAATAAAAAAAAAGACGAAGGGCTTCAAGGTTTGGCGTTTAAAAACTAACGTTAAAAAAATTCACAACATTCACGTTTCTAACTCAGCGCGGCCAAACGGACATTCTATTTCAGAAACGCATATTTAGGAGAGATATCGCCGGCTTCAAACAGTGGTATTTGCACCGTTCTATTCTAATATTTTTTCGACAACATATCTCAGGAGCCACAATCGATCCTTCGTATAGCTCACAGATAAGCGTGCTGACATCGCGAAAGCGGTAATTCCATCGTAACGTTAGGCGTGGCGAGCTGGAACGCTTACGCCTGCGGAGATTCCTCAACATTTACGTGCATAAAGCAAATATCTTATATATTAATTATCCATGCGGACTCACAAAGCGTATTTTTTCCAGCGGTCCTCTTGCCACGTCCAATGACTGGTGACTTGGTGAGTGTGTGGGTGGAGCTCACCTGAATTTCGTCTTTTCGCATGCTGAGCGGTCGGTTGTGTCCGTGCAGCTTGGCGTGGACTGTGGAGCTCACCTGGATCTCGTCTTTTCGCATGCTGAGCGGTCGGTTGTGTCCGTGCAGCTTGGCGAACAGACCGCAGGCGTTGCAGACCGTGTTGCCGTTGGCGTCCCGCCGCCACAGAGACGTGTTCATGGTCTGGCAGTTGTGACAGGACTGGTCCTGACGTCGAGACATGGACTGCCGCAGGTCAGATCACAGCGCGTCAGCTCAGGTCATGTCAGGCTGTCAACAGCGAACTGTTTAAAAGGGTATGGGAATGGCTTATAAATCATCTATGATTGATTGAATGATCGATTAGATTGACGACGTTTATGACGATGACATCTGTGACAACCAAAATAATGGAGTACGAAAACAGAATGGCATTGATTGCGATTGCCTGATAGCATGTAGGTACAAGTATGTACGTAGTAGCAGCAATCCGGATAGCCATTGATAACCGATAGGCATCATTGTTACGATACAGCGTTGCTAATCTAGCCCAACCTTTTAAATAGCCTACCATGCGTTCCATACAGCTAAAATGCCATCGGCAGACAGCCTGCTTTGCGACCTGTATCCGAAACTATGCAATATGCACTAGCATAAGCTGCACGAGGCATGTCGTCGTTCCATAGCCCCATGTCAATAGATAAAGCTAAACGTACCGACCTTAATGGCTGGGAGGGAGATTTGCAATCACGCGAATGGGAGCAGAGCGATTGAAAATTGAAATGTGTTGAATGGTTTCTGTCTTGTGCCCTGTACTTGAATGCATGGAGCCAACACAATGTTACAGGGTTTTGGGCACCCTTTGAGCACTTCTAGCATACTTCAGAATCAATTTCATCATAAACTTTTTTGCAATCAAATGACGAAGCACTCTGGTGAACAGCATTATATGTAATATATTTAATGGAATAACCTTCTGTTCAAAATTCTAAAAATTGCCAAAAGTTACCAAAAACACTTGAATATATTTCGGAGGCGTTCCTTCATCGGTTCAAGTGATAAACATTTATAGCGCCACATTTGCCGTTAACATATCTGATCCATGTTTTTTAAATATAAATCTCGCGTCTAGGTTGAGATGTGTCTTCTAATTTACATCTACAGAATTACCTTTACAGCGTACGAACAAAATTAGCTCCTACACTTAACAGGTTAATAGGTCATAATGTTGATACTATTCACACTTACAATGTTAATAGGTTACAAGATAGGGGGAGAGAAAGCGGGCAGGGATGAGGGGGGGGGGGGGGGAGAATTCTAGGCAGGTCACATCAGTACTATGCCTACCAAAAGTAAACACCGCTGCCTGACAGGATAAATAAGTATGCAAACGAATGAATGACTTGAATGAATGCACGAATGAATGAAGTATGAAAGAGAGGGGCATAAGCATATTATAGGTGAGCAGTCGAATAAGAGAGAGAGAGAGAGAGAGAGAGAGAGAGAGAGAGAGAGAGAGAGAGAGAGAGAGAGAGAGAGAGAGAGAGAGAGAGAGAGAGAGAGAGAGAGAGAGAGAGAGAGAGAGAGAGAGAGAGAGAGAGAGAGAGAGAGAGAGAGAGAGAGAGAGAGAGAGAGAGAGAGAGAGAGAGAGAGAGAGAGAGAGAGAGAGAGAGAGAGAGAGAGAGAGAGAGAGAGAGAGAGAGAGAGAGAGAGAGAGAGAGAGAGAGAGAGAGAGAGAGAGAGAGAGAGAGAGAGAGAGAGAGAGAGAGAGAAATACACACAATAATAATCGCTTCACATAAGAAGTGTGTCTGTGTGGGAGGGGGGGGGGGGGGTCGTTCAACAAATCGAAACACGTCTTATACCAGAGCCTATGATCAATAACCGTGTGGTATTCTAGCTCCTACCGGGGACCCGTAACGGACACCACTACTTGACGGTTTACACGATCGTCCATGATGCCACGTTTGTGTTGAGTGCTGGTCGCTCGTCTCTAATATGAAGAGATTCAGCAATCTTTCTCTCGCGCTCAGTCTTGCACACTTGTATTATTGCAGCTGTCACGTGTGATGGGCTCGCTTGTATGCCACGGTGATCTTCCCGGAAATGGTCCCCGAGAGGTGAATCTCTGCGTTGGTTTTTGGCGTCTCGTAAATGTTCATTGTACCGGAGTCGCACCATTCTGCCGGTTTCCCCGATGTATGTCTTCTGACAGAGGGTACACGTCAGTTGGTAGATGACTCCGGATGTGTGACATCGTCCTCGAAGACCCGCCGCGCACGCATGACAGCGAGCTCCTCCCGGGCAGGGTGGGGGTTTGAGGGCTGACCGTACCAGATGTTGTTTGATGGTGTTATCGTTCGTCCAGGCCACTCCCAGATCCTGCTGGCCGCTGCCCCTCACCACCGCCTGTACGGATCTTGTCAGCTGGTCGTCGATGAAGGGGAGAACTAGTCGGGTGATTGATGTTCTGTTCCTTTTCCTTTGGTCTGTGGATTTCATACAGTCCTCAATGGCTCTGTTGATTGTCTTGAGCTTGTATCCATTGTCGGTGAAAAGGTGTGTGATCCGTGCGATGCTACGCTGCCGTGCATCTTCGCTGCTTGAGAGTTTAAGAGCACGTCGTATTTGAGCATAGATGACTGATTTCTTGACCTTCCATGGCTGTGCGGAGTCCGCATGGATGATGATGCCAGCGGACGTGGGTTTGATGTGGAGTTCGGTGACGTATCTTCCACTGTCGTCTACTGTGATGGCAGTGTCCAGGAACGGGATGGTCCCACTCTTCTCCGTTGTTTCGATAGTGAAACGTATCGCTGGGTGTGCGTCATTGATGTGCTGTAGGTATTGTTGGAGGTTGTCTGATCCAGTCGTCCATACTCCGAGTACATCATCAATGTACCGCATATATATGTCAGGCTTGGACGCTGCACAAAGCTCGAGAACAGCTGAACTGTACGGACTTCCTAAAGATCACAAACCGGGAGTACCGCTCCGTCCGATTGTCTCCGCCTGTGGCGATCCGCTGGATCAGATCTCACATCTACTGGAACGGATACTCACTCAGCTTCTGGAGTTTGTACCAGCCCATCTTCCCAACACGGACGAATACTTACGGCGACTCTCTGAAGCATACCCCGGGTACATGTTGCCTCCCGGTAGCATCGTCTTCAGCGTGGACGTAACCAACTTGTACGGCAACATACCTTACAACGAGGCAATCGACAGCGCAAGAAAACTTCTGGAACTCCACCATCAAAACATAGACATGTTTGGCCTGGACTTGGATGACGTCACCCGCCTCCTGCGCCACTGTCTGTCAAACAACTACCTTCGTTTTGGGGACAAGTACTACCGTCAAACAACCGGATTAGCCATGGGTAGCAGAGTTGCCCCTCCGCTCGCGATCATCTTCATGGACCAGCTCGAGCAGCGCTTCAACGGTTCAGCAGCGTCCAAGCCTGACATATATATGCGGTACATTGATGATGTACTCGGAGTATGGACGACTGGATCAGACAACCTCCAACAATACCTACAGCACATCAATGACGCACACCCAGCGATACGTTTCACTATCGAAACAACGGAGAAGAGTGGGACCATCCCGTTCCTGGACACTGCCATCACAGTAGACGACAGTGGAAGATACGTCACCGAACTCCACATCAAACCCACGTCCGCTGGCATCATCATCCATGCGGACTCCGCACAGCCATGGAAGGTCAAGAAATCAGTCATCTATGCTCAAATACGACGTGCTCTTAAACTCTCAAGCAGCGAAGATGCACGGCAGCGTAGCATCGCACGGATCACACACCTTTTCACCGACAATGGATACAAGCTCAAGACAATCAACAGAGCCATTGAGGACTGTATGAAATCCACAGACCAAAGGAAAAGGAACAGAACATCAATCACCCGACTAGTTCTCCCGACTCGACCAGCTGACAAGATCCGTACAGGCGGTGGTGAGGGGCAGCGGCCAGCAGGATCTGGGAGTGGCCTGGACGAACGATAACACCATCAAACAACATCTGGTACGGTCAGCCCTCAAACCCCCACCCTGCCCGGGAGGAGCTCGCTGTCATGCGTGCGCGGCGGGTCTTCGAGGACGATGTCACACATCCGGAGTCATCTACCAACTGACGTGTACCCTCTGTCAGAAGACATACATCGGGGAAACCGGCAGAATGGTGCGACTCCGGTACAATGAACATTTACGAGACGCCAAAAACCAACGCAGAGATTCACCTCTCGGGGACCATTTCCGGGAAGATCACCGTGGCATACAAGCGAGCCCATCACACGTGACAGCTGCAATAATACAAGTGTGCAAGACTGAGCGCGAGAGAAAGATTGCTGAATCTCTTCATATTAGAGACGAGCGACCAGCACTCAACACAAACGTGGCATCATGGACGATCGTGTAAACCGTCAAGTAGTGGTGTCCGTTACGGGTCCCCGGTAGGAGCTAGAATACCACACGGTTATTGATCATAGGCTCTGGTATAAGACGTGTTTCGATTTGTTGAACGACCCCCCCCCCCCCCTCCCACACAGACACACTTCTTATGTGAAGCGATTATTATTGTGTGTATTTCTCTCTCTCTCTCTCTCTCTCTCTCTCTCTCTCTCTCTCTCTCTCTCTCTCTCTCTCTCTCTCTCTCTCTCTCTCTCTCTCTCTCTCTCTCTCTCTCTCTCTCTTATTCGACTGCTCACCTATAATATGCTTATGCCCCTCTCTTTCATACTTCATTCATTCGTGCATTCATTCAAGTCATTCATTCGTTTGCATACTTATTTATCCTGTCAGGCAGCGGTGTTTACTTTTAGTAGGCATAGTACTGATGTGACCTGCCTAGCATTCTCCCCCCCCCTCATCCCTGCCCGCTTTCTCTCCCCCTATCTTGTAACCTATTAACATTGTAAGTGTGAATAGTATCAACATTATGACCTATTAACCTGTTAAGTGTAGGAGCTAATTTTGTTCGTACGCTGTAAAGGTAATTCTGTCGATGTAAATTAGAAGACACATCTCAACCTAGACGCGAGATTTATATTTAAAAAACATGGATCAGATATGTTAACGGCAAATGTGGCGCTATTTAAATGTTTATCACTTGAACCGATGAAGGAACGCCTCCGAAATATATTCAAGTGTTTTTGGTAACTTTTGGCAATTTTTAGAATTTTGAACAGAAGGTTATTCCATTAAATATAAACTTTTTTGTATGAAAATTGCCCATCATTTAACAAAACAAAATTATATTTTGTTGTTACATGCCATTTCAATCACATGCACTGCCTATGAGTGAGACTCGGCACAAGCAGCGCTATTCGTGTCTATCTGTCTGTATGTGCCGGTCTGCGCCGATAACTGCAGGGGCGGGCTCCGGCTCCCTCTGGGCGCTGGCGGGTCTGCTCACCACCTTCTGCTGGTGTTCGCTGAGGGAGCAGGGCACGGCGCCCGCGCTGGCAGCCGGCGGCAGCACGGTGCTCAGCGGCAGCAGCGGCGGCGGCGACGGCTCCATGGGCGTCAGCAGGCACATGGCCGGCGGTGTGCCCGGCGGCGGCGGCGGCAGAAGGCACCCGGCGTCCGACGGCGGCGACGCGGTCAGCGGCTGCAGCTCGCTGGGACCAGCTGCAACAGCCGCGGACGGCGCGCGTCATGCCACAAGCGTCCAACGGGGGTCCTACCTCGAGAGACATGCCTTAGCGAGCGCCGCGGAGGGGCGTCATGCACCACACTACATGCTCTGGTCGCTCGTGCGGCCTGCCGTGCTGTGCTGTGAACTCAGTTCGGGGATGCAGCGAGCGGCAGAGCAGCACTCACCAGCCGCCTCACGGTCTGTCTGAGCGGCGGACGGTGGAAGCCGTTCGACTTTGAGAAGAGGGAGCACGCGTTACAGAGGTAGTGACCGGTCATGTCTCGCCTCCAGAGGGGCGTGTTGCCCGTTCCGCAGTTGACACACTCGCGGCTCTCTGGGTAGCAGTAGGCTGTAAGGCAGTTACGATGTTACGATGTGTCATGGGTACAAAGGTGGGTTCATATACCGGGATCTTGCAGCGTCGGAGCGCGGTGTTATCAGATACGATGTGTCACAGTGACGTTATCAACTTTGAGGACGGATTTATCCTGGTGATTGAGGCGCATACAGGTGAAAGAACATCGGAACCCCGAATGATGAAACCGGAAACGCGTCTTCAAGGAGGTACTTTGTCAATTCAAGTTGGGACTCAAAGTAAGATGCGGGGAAGGACAAACGGTCACGGAACGAAATATCAAGTAGTGAAATCATCACCGCAGGCGAAACTATTCATTGCCATACTCGGTAAGCCCCTGGAGCTGGGCTCATAAGCTCAGAGGGTATGAAAGTCACATGGAGCTACAAAACTCGATCGAAAAGATGAAAAACAGAGATGACACCTGCTTAGTGCTTACCTACATTTAAGGCGAGTTTACATCTTAGTGATGCGGGTAGAAGGGAGCTAATTCGTCTGGATGACATCATTACACCTGTATATTATTAATTGATAGATTGAACATGATTCGTTTTGCTTACACTAGCATCATTATTGGAAAGGTAAATGTACAGTAACATTAATAAAAACCAGTAAAACGCCTTTTGGGCGACCAACGGAGCGAGCGAGAGGATGGGCCTTGCACGTGCGAAATTGCGAGGGGGTACCTCCAACTAACTTGGCACTGCACCCTACTAACCGGTCTTTAGCGATGTGCCAAATTTCAGCGCAATCGGCCTAGCCGTTCTCGAGATCTGGAAGCGGCACACTGCACGTGCGCACGTGCAAGCGGGGTCCAAACTGACTTTTGCACGGCACCCTACTAACTGGTCCCCAACCGTGTACCAAATTTGAGCGCAATCGGCCCAGCCGTTCTCGAGATCTGGGAGCGCCCCCTGCACGTGCGCACGTGCTGTAGCACCCCAACCTTAACACATGCAGATGAATTATCTGATGGAGACCTAACTGTGTACCGAGTCTCATTTCAATCGGCCCAACCGTTGTGCCGTTATTGAGGTTGCAATTTTGGGGGTTCTTAAAAAATGTCCAACTTTACCACGCGCCACGTGCGGTGGTTGGCAAGAACGCATGGTGGCCATCACACCACAGAACTTTTACGTCCAAGTGACATTCAGTAAAGAAGACCGCTTGTCAATCGGATGTCCCGTTCCTAAGATATTAGCTTTTGAAGAGCGTCCCCACGGCCGGCCGGCCGGCCGGCCGGCCGGCCGCTCATACTCAGGATTTTCCCTTAATTCAGTATGAGACTCCGCTCGCTTCGCTCGCTCCGTAAACATGATAACATTGAAACTGAAACTAAAAATACCACATTTTGAAATAGGGCAAATCTTCACAGCAATACATTACACGATTGCAATGAATTTCTTCCAAACCAGCTGCAAATATACTTCAGTCTTATCACAGAAAAACCCTGCATGGACATGGAGGAAAGTTAGCGCGGTTGGTCTATTTTTGACCGGAAGTTGGGGCCCCTGCGCTGGTGCGATGCAGCCTGCCGAGGAAGCCGAGGGAAACCCGCTGGGCGCCGGCTGCGCCGGTAGCCCTCTCCCGCAGACCGAGCCACTTCCCGGAACTTCGTCCGGTGGTGTCGCCGCGTCGTCAGCGGCGGGCAATGAGGTCGAGGCGCGACGAAACACGAGAAAAGATGCAACGTGGGGTGGAATAATAAACCCGACTGCCGAGCGCCAACGCCAGTGGTTTTATCTTAGAATCTGGATGGCTGGTTCGTGATAATGTCATGGTCAACGGTCGTCATATGCGACGACGTCGCGGAGCGTGGACTTCGGAACTTGCACTTGATGAACCCTCCCCATCAGATGCCCCACACTTGCCGAGAGGCTGCTTGCTCAACACTACTGCCTGTCCGACGCTTGGGTCGACGTACCAAGCGTCGGACCGCACTTCCCGGCAAACGAGGATCCTCGTCACGCCGCATGGGGCTGTTTGTTCTACACGTGTCGACAGCACGACCGGGTGGTAGCCACGGCGGGCGCGCAGATGGCGGACAGTGCCCTGATATTTGATAGCACTGTCCCTAGATCGGCGGACAAGTGGAGCTCCGGTGGTTCCTGGTATCGGGGAGTTTCCGCGAGCGCCGCCAATCTTTGACGTGCGGAAGAGGATAGCGCTGTTTCGGCATTTTCCGTGAAGAGTCACTTGACGGCGTCGTATCTCCGCAAAGAAAATATGCCGACAAAGTCCCCGAATTTCCGTAAAATGAGATGCATTTCCCTCTTACCCGACATTTGACACGGTGAGTTTCTTTGCATAAGGTGATAATCAAAACCGCCAACTGGTTTGTTTTCCTCCTCCGTCATACCATGCCCCTGTGGGTAGGTACATACTGTTCACGCGTGTCCCTCTCACGTCACCCGTGTCCTTTTCCTGTCGCCTCCGTGTCCCTCCATTACCCCGTGCCCTCTAACGTCATCCCGTGTCCCCTTCTCCCGCTCCCGTGTCCCCACTCCCACTCCCGTGTCCCCGCTCCCGTGTCCCCACTCCCGTGCCCCCACTCCCTTGTTCCCCCACTCCCGTGTCCCACGCCCTACTCTCGTGCCCCCACTCCCGTGTCCCCACTCCCGCGTCCCACTCCCGTGTTGCCACTCCCGTGCCCCCACTCCCGTGTCGCCCGGCGCACCTGAGGCCGGTTTGTTTTCAGTCGCCACCGGCCCGCCGTGTGTGCCCTCAGCTCGAGCCCACGATACTGATGGAGGCCAAGCGGCCACACCAGATAACAACGCTGTTCAACACGACGCCAGATAGGATCCGAGCTCAGAATGATAACGGGAGGGCTCCGAGCGCAGAACGGCGCCGGCGCTCGCTCCGATCGAGCACACAGAGGCTCTGAACAGGCACTCTGTGAGAATGATGACATCATGTGTTCTTTTTCCCGTGTACGATTTGTGGGGACCATATTGGCGGGGATGCTCATAAGTGATGGGGCTCATTCTAACGGACGCGGCTGGCAGTTTGATTTGTCGGCCTACCACTTTCGCTGAAATGGTATTTATTTACCATTTCAATGGTATACCAGCCAAGCATAGGCTGGTATTACAGCCTATACCTGCAGTATGTGTATACTTCGCCTCCACTACGTGTACGTTTAACACTGAAACAACACCCAGGTTGCATGAAATTACACATTATTTGTGCATTTATTGACCAAAACTCTTTTCTGATGCAGTTTCATAAAAAAGAATACATTTATGGATCATTGAATCGAGAAAACCAAGCCTTTGGCTTTCCGTTACGATTTTACTGACATCTGAGCGACGCAGTGGTATGTAACCACTAGTGGTGTCAATCGGAACTTGAATCTTCGGAATTCCGATGTTGTCCAATGTCCAATTCGGAATTCGGTTGGACAATGACAGCAGACTTTGGACAACTTTGGACAATCGCTTGCTACACCTCAACATTTTTATAAAGTAATCGTGTTTAACATTGATTGGCTATTAGAAAGCTCAGCTTTCGATATGATTACCACTTTTGAGCTGGTAACGATACATTAAAAGCAAATTAATTAACGGTGTTGAGTGTAAACTATTGCGTAGATGTCGGACATCTTTGGACAAATGGCTGGCTTGGACATTTTTGGACGGACAGTCGACGTAAGTATTGGACATTGGACAGACATTGGACATATGTTTTCTGAAATTGACATCACTAGTAACCACCGTGTTGAAATTGCCGTCTACCTGGCAGTGTAGCGCTCTCTGTTCGCTGGCGATCGATGTGGGCACACCTCGGTACTACACCTGCCCGATCCCATTATCTTATCAGGCGGACTGAGCCGGGGCGGGACGGGGCGGGGAGGGATGGGCCAGACCGCCGCGCCGCGGGCCGGGCGCGCTGAGAGGGCGTAGCCGGCGACGGGCCGCGATGGAGCCGGCCGTATTAGAAGGATGTGTGCACTGTGCATTGTGCAACGTGCATTTACTAGCATAAGACGGGTGGGATGGGAGCGTATAGGAGTTGATGAAATGGAGAGGGATTGAAAGGGGTAGGATATGATGGAACGAGTGCAAGCGACACAGTCGAATACAAAGGAGGGTGGAGGGCTAATAATGTAAAACAAAACTTTCAGTGTAGTTAGTTAAGAAAAATAACCCAGCGCCGTATTGCTAGGTTACATGGATGGGACATGGAAGCATGGGCGAGACAATGGTCGAGACACACTTTGTTTTCAATCAATGGCGCACAGAGTGAAAAACAAAAACATTTTTTCAGTCCGCTGGAAATGTAACTTCTAACTTTAATCGTTACGAGTGATATTGGGTCTCTAGTGCAGTCCACCGTTGTTTCCCCACCTCTGCAGATATCTCCCGACTTCCCCTGGGTGAAGGACTTACCCGGGTGGGCAGCGTCCATGACCGGCCAGCCGTCGTGCTGCGGCGCCACGTCAGGGGGCGGCTGAGAGGGCCGGTACAAGGACCGAGACGTGGAGCTGATGGCTGAAATGGGAGACCGAAGCAGGGTCACAGAGAGTGAAACCAAAAAACGGGGTCTCAATCTTAAATGGACAAGGGGGCAAATTGGCACATGCGTGATATTTTTTGCTTCGCTTTCAAACAAAATGATAAAAAGGCTATACGTATGAATTAATAGCGTGCAAGGAAATAACAAGGCGCTCCTAAGGCAAAAGCTTTTTTCTTGTGAAAGAGTCGAGAAAAGACGGCAATGCAAGTGCGGCACACGCATTTGCAATTTCCAGCTTATACCTATTTGTCCATGGCTAAAGCGCGCGTCGTGTGCGTTTTAAGCTTTAAAGTACGCTCTCTAAGTCCAACAATGCCTATAGAACATGACTTTTATCTACCTACGCTTTTCCATAAGGTCGACATGTCGTTATTGTAACATCCTAGTAAATATTTTGTACTTATCTATCACTGCATGTTTTCACTTTACATATATGATGTGAGAAACGAGAACGAATGATAAGATCAACAATCTACTCTACTCTGTATCTAGGTACACTAATGTCTGCACTCATAATTTTAATGAGTATCAATTTGCTTTGCTCTGATATCTCGTTTCCAAATCACGGACAGGTGAGTAAGAATACTTACGCGACTGTATGACCGATGTGGCATTTCGCAGGGCAGCGAAGGGGAGGAGTTTTGGAGTCTCCCCGGCGGTGGACGTCATCGTCAGGCTGCCTCCGACAAATCTGAAACGGGACAGAACGGCATTGAAATACAGCATATAAAACGACATCAAAGTACGGCGCAACAGGCTGGACTCGTCCAAAACATCACCAGCAAACAGTTACTAGTCTTTATAGGCACAGGCAGGATATGTTGGGTTTCTGAGTTATTCTGAATTATTTTTGAAGTTATTATTGTTGCGCAAGTCACTCTGCTTTGTTCTTGAGGCATACCTTCTGAGTGCACAATGTGCATGGTATAATCGTGTTCTTTGCATGCCAGCGAAACAAATATCAAGGCGCTAGGTTTCATGGAAAACGCTTTCCTTAGCGCCCTGACATGTCTTGTAGAAAGGAATTGCAGCGTGTTGCCATGGAAACGTAAAAAGTGTCTTGTGCCGTGAATACAGTGCACCTACGCCGTCAACACCACTTTAAGCTATTAGTTAATACCAAATTGTAAATGAGCATACCAGAGAAACGGAAGCTCCTCCATAGGGTGATATAACCCTCGGCCGCGTCGTCCCTCGACCTCAATAATTGTCCCGAGTGGCATGCTCCAATTGAAACTGCCCGTGCTCGATTATAATTTATATCTTGGTAGGATGACCATCAGCGCGGACAGAGGAAGAACCTTAACAGCCGGATCAGTTCACACTGAGGTCTGAGGATGAAAGGGACTGAAGGGTTTCGGGTTTCCAATGGCCTCGCTCTCCCAACCCTTCAGATTTGCCCGGATTCGAAATAAAGATTCGCCGTCATGTCAGCGTGTTATTTTTGGTCAGGCCACAATAATGCACATTTGAATGGATGACGGAATCAAGACCATGACATTCGTGCCAGCAATAATGAAATAGGTCACTCCGCCATTTCGCAGTGGCCTTGAGTGTCTGCAACTGCCTGCCGGTGTTATCCTGTTTGCACTGCTTGTCGACAGATGTCTCTGCTGTCTGGTTGGGGTGGGGGAGGGGGAGGGGTGGCATCACTGACATGGCGGCCCCTGACCGCAGCTCCGAGGGGGCGGGGCGGGGGAGGGGAGGCGCGAGCAGGATGTGGTTGGTAGAGGGGGGGAGGTCGCACAGGATGTTAGATTCGCTGCAAAAGATTCCGTCTTATAGTCTCTGATCAAAGCTTTGCAGATAAGTGGATATGATTCGCTTCAAAAATATATTTATCAGTAAGTCCTGGGCATAGACCCGGGAACAGGGGGGGGCAGCGGGGGCGCTTGCCCCCCCAACTTGAGAGCCGAGGGGGCGGCGCCCCCTCAACATTGAGGCAGCGAGAAAGGATCTTTCCTCCCTTTTCCGAACTTTTTTCCTTCTTGTTTCCTTTATACATCTAAACATCAAGACACGGCATTTCCCTTGCCATCTGAATAGTTTCTGCTGATACAGTAACGATTTGACAACATCTGCTATTGTCATCCCGCTTTGTTTGGGTCTGAGTTGACCTTGGCCATAAGTTGACCGTTTTGAGTTAACTTTGAGAAATACATAGCGTGCAACGGTGGTAAAATCGTTGCTATGGGTATAACACAGTTTACCCGCTCCGGGTGTGAGGGAGGGGTGTGGGGCAATGGGTGCACTGACGTGGCGCCCTCGGATGGCCGGTATGGGATTAAAGCTCAGCGACACTAAGGGCTTGTCTGGTGCCTTCAGTTATCGGTAGCACCCTCAGAATCAACGGCGTAGGGTTCTCAGAGCCGCCGGTAAGAGGCCTTTAGAGGCACTGGCGTGGGGCCGTTATGCAGGTGCCGGTGTGGGCGCTCAGAGGTGCTAGTGTGATTCTCTCAGAGGCGCCGGTGAGGGTCCTTACAAGCGTTGCAGTGGGCCCTCATAGACGCTGGCGTGGAGCCGTTACAGACGGGTGTGGGGCCTTTAGAGCTGCTGCCGTGAACCCTCTACAAGCCTGCAGGGGTTCTCAGTGACCGGCAAGGGGCCCTTAGGCCGGCAGAAGAAGTCCTGTGGGGTCCTTGAGACCGGCATGGTACTGTCAGACCGGCGGTGCCCTCAGAGTCACCGGTGTGGGGCCCTCAAAAGTCACCAGTGGGTGGCCTTTAGATGCGCAGGTGTTGACTGCAGGTGGTCCTCAGAGCCGCCGATATATAGGGCTTTGATAGGCACTGGTGTAGGCACTCAGAGTTGGGGGGGGGGGTGTGAAACCCTCAGAGGCACTGGTGTGGGTTCTCATAGGCGCCGATGAGGGCCCCCACAGTTGCCGTTATGGGGCCCTAAAAAAATAAGTGTGGGACCATAACACCTCTAGAACTGGCCCCTCATTAGGCCGGTAAGAACTCTCAGAGGCCAGTAACGGGCCTTTAGAGACCACCGAGGGGCCCTTAAAAGCCGCAAGAGGCCCTCAGAAGTCGGCGTGGGGCCCTTATGGAGATCTTAGTGTGGCTATTTAGGGCCCCTGAGGTGCTCTAACGAGCCCCATGGGGCCCTTCTGAGTCGAAATATGGCCATCGTTAACCCTCAGCGGTCAAATGGCGCCGCAGGGCCACGAGGTCCCTTTGAACCCGATGGGGGGGGGGGTGCGTATCCCCTTAGACCCCTAGCTACGCTACGTTTCATATGCATCATGTCAGGCATTTTAGGCTCGCCCCCCCAACTTGAAAATCGTTCCCGGGCCCCTGGTCCTGGGGGCAGGGCTGCGGAGTCGATGGATTTTCGGCGACTCCGACTCTGACTCCGACTCCGACTTTCAAAAACTAGCTCCGACTCCGACTCCGACTCCGGGCAGAATTGTCGACTCCGACCGACTCCAACTCCCGACTCCGACTCCGCAGACCTAGCAGGGCTGCGGAGTCGACAGATTTTCGGTGACTCCAACTCCGACTCCGGCTCGGGTTTCTAAAATCGACTCCGACTCCGACTCCGACTCCGGTCACATCTGTCGACTCCGACCGACTCCGACTCCGACTCCGACTCCGACTCCGACTCCGCAGCCCTGCCTGGGGGAGATAAATGCTGCCTGTTAGAAGAACGGCAAATGATCAATTTGTCCACAAAGACGTCATATATGCAAGCCAAATGTATCACCTGCAAAGCTGTAGAGATACGTGCTACCTAACACCCACGAACATGAAATAGCAGGTTGGTAATTGGTATGGTATCAATACTTGCTAAGGCTTTTGGCTTATTTGGAGAGAAAAAATTGCCAAATTTTTGCAAGGCCGTTGCTATAGAGCTACCAAAGGATTTCCATCCACGCCAACGTTGACTCAAGGGCTGGTTCAGGCCAACACGGGTCAATGACAGGTCTCCCGAGTCCGAACTGAAAACACTAACCGCCACCCCAAACAAAGAACGGTGCAAATATGCGCGCCGGATCCTAGCCTGTGCCGTCTCGGAGCCGGCTCCAGGAAACAGGACCCGGGACCGCGACGGACCGGACCCGGGCCGACCCCGGAGCGGAAACGACTTCCGCGTCGACGGCCGGGCTGCGGACGGTCGGCGACGCCTCCGGACGCGGCCGGAGGCCTCGGCGCCGCCGCCGACGGACCTCGTACCGAGCAGCGCCGGTCGACACGCTCCGGTCGAACGACGGGGCTCACTGGTGACCAGTTACCAGGGCTGCGGAGTCGATGGATTTTCACTTTTCAGTGACTGCGACTCCGACTCCGACTCCGGCTTTTAAAAGCCAACTCCGACACCGATTCCAGGCAGCATTATCCAGTCCGACCAACTCCAACTCCGACTCCGACTCTGCAGTCGTGCCAGGTCTACGGAGTCGATGGACTCCCGGTGACTCCAACTCCGACTCAGGCTCCAGTTTCCAAAATCGACTCCAACTCCGACTCCGGTCAGAACTATCGACTCCTAACGACACCGACTCCGACTCCGACTCCGCAGCCCTGTCAGTCAACACGCCGCGCCGGTCGACCCGCCCCGGCTGATAAATAGAGAGCGTCGGCTCAGAGAGGAACAAAGCATCATAGCGTCAGAAAACGTCGGTCCAATATATTCCGTCCGCCCGTCCTTGGTCGGGGTGAGGAATATCAAGTCGATGAAATACTGTACAAAAGTAAAACAGTGGATTGGCCATAATTGTGAGCGTGGCATTCGTTGACATAAACATTATAATTATATGTATGTACTTGAAATTGAAGAATGAATGGATTTGACCTCTATTATGCAAGTGCTGATGTAAAGCAAAGGAGACAACATGTGTATAGGTTGGATAGAGTTTAATGCCATATATGAAAGTAGGCCACAGAATTGTGCTCACTGCCGTACAAAGAATACGTCAATGAAATAAACGTTTTGTCGCTTACTGCTCAGCAGACACCTGACATTTCTCTCCAGTCACCACTGCGACTTGCACCCGGCTCACATGCAAAGCATCGCCAGCTGGAGCCACTGCCCCGGCGCTGTGCGGCGCGGCACACCCGCCAGCAGGCAGCTGCGAGCTTTCCCTGGGCGCCGCCGACCGTCCGACCGAGCCCTGCCGCTGAGGTCGCTTCCGGCCCAGTGTCGTCTGGTGACGGCCTAAAAACGGTGAGCAAACGACCGGCAGTCGGTCGGCCGCCACGTGCCGCCAACATCCGCTGCTAGGCTCCGCCGAGTCGCGAGGGAGACCGCGGCGTCACCGTCACCCGTTACCGTCACCGTCACCCGTTACCGTCACCGTCACCCGTTACCCTGCCGCCGCCCCGTTTTCACCCCCACCTGAGCGGCATTTGATGACCTCCATCGCACAGGGGGCAAACCAACGGTCATTCCACATGCCAAGATGCACGTTTATACCAATATTCGTTAAAGGTTGTGGAATGTGAAAGTGGTGTGTAGATTTTCATTATCGGCAAGTTCACACTAGCCGTTTTCACGACGGCCATCTGGTACACATTTGGTGCACATCTGGTGCAGATTAGGTGCAGATTTGGTCAAATTAGGCTCAGTGTGTCTCTTAGTAGCTATCAGCTAGGGTTGCACTAATTGTTTAGGTATGCCTGCTTTGTCATGTTAACAGAGAGCATCATCGATTAAAACACTGAAATAAATTCATAAAATAAAGATATTTGC